CATCTATCTTTTAATATTACTATTATTAACTCTCTACTCCACCACAAGCTCCGGCTTATAGGAGTAGATATATCTTTACTTATATGATGTTTTGTATATTTAAAAAAAAAAAAAATATATATATATATATATATAGCTAGTTTTTAAATTAGGGGGGGGGTGGAGTTCCTTACATTTTTTAAATTTTTTTTCCACTTACTAATTTTTTTTTTATTAGGACGAAAGAACGATACATTTATTTTTGTAAATAATGATATTTTTAAAGAACATGTTGTAATATTATGCTCACATAACATAATATTATAGCTATATAGTTATTTATTATTTATATCATTACACTAAAATATTAACTAAAATAGTAATTAACTATAATAGTAACTAAAATATTCAAATATGGCAGAGTACTTGATATTTTACAAAAGGTGAATAATTTAATAAATATAACGGATCGTTTGCTAGTCGAGGGGGATACAAGCTTATCTACAAGCAAAATTTTTAAAATATGTGCCAAATATAATGGAACTGCATGCCATCTGCTGCGGCACTTTGATGACACTGCCCCCTCAGTCATACCATTGCATATTACCTTATTTTCACAATTTGATTATTAATTATTTTATATTGATACCGACGCGAATGACATCTGTTCTGTTTTATTAAGCACATAAATTCCAATGGTTTTCTATCATTTGAGGACCCGAACTATTACTTTCACTAAAAGCATTAAAATATAAGTCAAATAAAATTAAACAGTAGATACATAACATCAATCGGCCCTTTGACGTTACTGCCGTGTCGTCATAATTCTCTCGCACTATATACCATTATAATTATCTATACTAATATATAAAATGATAGCGTTTGTTTGTATATTCGGGATAAACTCCGCAACTACTTATTTAATCGTCGTGTAGTTTCTTTCAAATTAAAGAGGATATTACAGAGAAGGTTTTAGGCATACATTTAGTCTGATAAAGTTAGATTAGTTATTATTAAATTAAATAATAAACGTATACATTGTATACCTATAATAATATATTATTATTATTATATACATATTGTGCGGCACGGTGGCCAGTAGGTTTCCAGCTACCTACCTGGCCTTTTTTCTTTTGTGTCTGTTTTATCGGCGAGTAGATATGAATAATTGGATTTTCCATACCATGTTATTTCAACAATTTTTCTTATCATAAGTTTATATATTAGGTACTAATATTTTTGTTATATATTATACTAGCCTGTCAGTTTAGTTGACAAAAACCACTCGAAGAGACGACTTCTTTGGTATATTAAGTTACTAAGTAATATTTAATAAGTTATATAAGCTTTCTAGAAAATATGTTCTAAAAATATAAAATTATTATTATATTATTAGTATAGATAATAGTGCGTGATTTGGTTCATGAGTCGGTAAAATTCAATACGGTGCTTAGTATATTTTTTCTTCGCTTGTAATACTTATTGTTGTATAGGGTACGTAGTCATGCCAAAGGCAAAATATTCATTATCAAGAAGAACTCAGATGCTAGAAGAGTTCAAATTGCGAGGCTGCGAGAGACTACTGAACAACGACAGAATCGATTATCGAAAACGGCTCGGCGTAATTCAACCGTCCGTGCGCTAGGGGATTCTGTTCAAACTGAACTTCGATTATTACAGGAGCGTGTACAGATAGGAGACAGGATAACCCATGAGTTATCGGTTCAACAAATAATTACCATTACTTTAATGTGGTTAATAGAATATTAAAAGAAAGATCAGAAAATGTTCGGCTTCAACGAGAAAATAACAAGACAGTTGACAACAGTGACAAACTAGCCGATAGGTATAACGAAAAGGGCATTTTGCACTTTAATAGGTGTAAACATAAACTAGTCATAATGGCATAACTAGCAATAATCTACCAGATGATCCTGGACAAAACTTAACACTATTGACTGGAGCTTCAAAGTTAAATATATTTTGTAGTTCAATATTGCCAGATGGCAATAATTGAAATATTTTGGAAGTTTGATCACCACTCGCAGTAACAAACTTCATGCTTGAATCAGCCCATGCATGATCAAAAATGATATTACGGTGATTCTTGAAAACTTGAAAATAAAAAAAAAAAAAAATTAAAATAAATTTCAAATAATTGTAAAACAATAACAAGTATAAAGACTATAGGGTTTAGTTTTACTTGATTTAGAATTGTCTATATCAGTGTTATTTTTTATATTCTCATTTGTATTTAGAATAATTATTTTTCCTTCTGATGTTGTACAAGTAAATATGTGTGAATTGTTTTTCATTTTACTGAATTTGCCAGACATGATAGATCCACGACCAACATGCATTTTTTCAGTGCTCATATTGAAGGTTGTAGATCCCATTTTACCAATCAAATTTTCAGTTATCTTTTGTCTAAATCCTAATTAATAAAATAATAAATACAATTTGTTAGAGTACATAAAATTAGTTCATTAAGATATTCTTACAATGTCCTGTACAGTGTTCATAAGCACTAACTTTACCACAAACTAAAAATATTCCGTCTTTAAAGGATTATTGCTAACAAATATCATATAGGATATTTTAAAAATGGAATCAAGTGCATTAGGATAATTATCACATGTTTTATTTCGATGTAATGAGCAGGGCTGTGAATATAATGTATTAAAAAGTGTTGAACATATGCATTAAAAACACAACNGAAAAAAGGGAAATATTGGACACATTGTATTCGATATTCTTTGATCTTTGAGTATTTAAACTATTGAATCGAACAACTGTGTCACGAAGTTATTATCATAGTAGATAAAATCTATTTACGTTTCTAATAAATGTATAAAATAGATATAATTTGTAGATATCAGAACAATCCTGATTTTATCGTCAGGTACCGCTTTAAATTCAAAAACTGGACTTAAAATTTAATATTTTCATTCAAACTATGATATAAATATTACTATTTGTGTTATATTGTATTTGAAAATATACTTTACCGTAAGCATTTTGACTGAATCCGAGTTCTCTATTTTGCAAATAATTGAATTCATTAAAATCCATTGCTCTAATTGTATTGACTAAAATAAACAAATCGTACAAATAATAAATTATCTAATCGGGTACTTGGTTAAGTTAAATACATACACTAACAGTGAAGATTGAACAAGTTACATATTAGATCATCCAACAGAAAATAATCGATTTATGACTTGGATCGTGTTACCATAGACATATAATTATATTAATTATGTTATCCACTTCTATATCGTGCTTTCCCAGCTTCTCACCTGAAACAGCGACTCGCACGTTATGCAAAGTATGTCCATTGTTTTATTTGATAATGTGTATAATTGATAAATTGATAATGGTAGCTATCTACTGTGATTACAGGCATGGAAAGTAATATTGTTTATAAAGGAAAGTATAATATAAGACCACTGGACGCGCTAGTTCTCCACAAACCTGTCAACGATACGATTGCCGCTAGTGCCCCTTCTATTTAATTTATCTTCTATGGTCACAGATATATTATTAATTATAAAACAACTAGATAGCCGACTTTGGTATTGTTAATTGTCGCCAACAAACTGACCGCGATTCCTATCTGAGGGATGAATGTTTATGTTTTATAGTATTGATAAGGAACGATGTTATAACCACGATTAAAGATATACAGGTTTGGAATCGGCCGATATAAACAATTCCAAATCTTGAAATCGATTATTAAATGTGTATAATGAGTTTAAAACTATTTGAAGACCCAGCAAATAAAAATAAAGAATACCATCGAACGAGTGTCTATAAATTATTTATAAATATAATAAAATATTGATTTGACGAAAGTAATTTCATTGGTCATGTCATTCTGTTTGAAAAGACCAAAATTGAGTGTAGGTACTTTTCCAACAACACATTCAACTTTATTACGAACACATAGAATGGTTAAAATAATACATATATATGTATATATATATAATATATATACTACTAATATATCCACTAATATATCCAGTGGTTGTACAGTGGATGCAATTTTCAGATATGAATAATATTCATTATCAAATTTTTATGACTTCCGATTGATATCTAAATGATATTAAAATGTCCGGATTTTAGGCATTTTTGAATGTTCTATTTCAATATCCATTGGTTGTTCCTTGAACTTATTCATGAGATGTCTTCTATTATCTAATCCCAATGGATAACTACAGGTTATTATTAGCTATACACTTCAGAATTAAATATTAATTAATTACTATGAATTTAATGTATTTGTATGTTTTTTTCCAATAAACCGTATAAGAAAATGGATCTAGCCAGAATTTGTTTTGGCTTGTCTATAGTTAAAATACACTGTTCTTCTGACGATTGGTAAAACAACTTTTTTTTTTTTTTTTTATAATGAAATAAAGGTATGGTATTTACGAAAATCCTTTCAAGGATGTTCAAGAAAATACCATACCACTACCATTCAAGAAATATTATTGTTGCAATCCAAGGTTAACTGACATGCAATTAAATCCACAATCCTCATTGTTAAACGCAAGTGTATACGGCAGTGGTAATTTTTGTTTTTCATTTGGATCTACACAGAGAAGTATTTATATTTCTTCTATTTTTTCATATTGATTATTTTTCTTTTTACATTAGCTCCTAGCTATTATTTGTTATGTATTGTTAGAACCAACAAACTCAATATTCCGCTGTCATAAAATTAACTTTTATTTAATTTTTCTCACTCATGATAGGCATCATAAATATTCAAAACATACACTTATCGTAAAATACGTACCGGCCATAAATTAAATTACACAAAAACTTAATTACCATTAAAAATTATTAAAATTATTGATAGTATACATGTATATTATGTGTATTATAATATTGTGTGAAACAATATATTTCACTATATTTTTCATTGACGTAATGATTAACTGGTGAAACAGAATAGAAATAGAAATAGTATAATAACAACATTATTTACTAAACATTAAAATGTGTATACTTTGTCATTTTTCTCGGGATATATTTTCTACCTTAATATCTATCCTCGGCGCTATCATTGATCACCTCCAATACATACTTATAACAAATCTCTATCACCAGCTGAATGCTGGTGTCGGAGCATAAACTCTTATTTAAAACAGTTGTTACGTGCCTTTCATAGATAAACATGTGACAGTCCATAATAAGTATTCCATCAGTCTCTTTTGGGAACCGAAATACTCAGGCTAAAATGATGTACTTACAAATCTCGCAGCTGAAAGGCTTTGGTTACCCAGGCATACACCAGTGGTATTTTTATAATTTTAATATCTAGCTCGGGTAATAGAAAACAATTAATTGTTTTCATTTTGTGGAAATATTAAAAGAATTATTTATATTAATGTGTATGATTTCCTATTTATTTCAAATAAATGAACATTGTGCACGTTACACGGTGGAGGTTAATATCACTATATTTTGTTTAATAGGAGACATTAAAAGACTATACTGGTTAAGTTAGGTAATTTCCTAATCCAGGCAGTTTTATTACTTAGTTATAGATATACCGGAGATTTGGACTTGGCTGTGGCTGATTTCAATAAATTAATGTAGATTTGTTGCTCAGATGTTCACTGTTCGGCTGACTTGCCCCAGCCTTTTATAATACATAATCATTTTTTATTGTTATTACTTCAAGGATTTGTTGGATAGATTTTGTGTTAGTTAATAAAAGTCACATTGGTTTTTAAAAGTAATAATTTTTATATATTTTTTTTAAATTAAATTTGTATCTTGTAGAAACCTATTCGCCAAGTGTTCTGTAACAAATAAATATAAATACAAAACTTATTTTAAATGATTCAAGGATGAAATTGATATTTTGTAGCACTGTTAAATTATTATTTAACTGCTGATAATATGTATATTTCATTAAATAACAAACTATATTCTTACATTACCTGTTTTTTTTTTTTTTTTTTTTTTTTTTAATTGTTCTTCAAGTTAAACATTCAATTTGATCGGGATTTGTTTTTCCTTTGAAGTTCTAATAAATTTATGTTGCTCATTTTCAATTTGCGCGGTTAGCACTGACCATAACAATGGTCGACCATACAATGAAGAGCTACATGTCATCAACTTAAAAATAAAAATAAAACAAACTAGAATTAAATGATCTAAAATTAGTATAAACCATTATATAACTATAGACACAAAAATAGTATGAGGATACATATTAATATGTTACACATAGATTGAATGATAAAAATAAAATAAAACTACACCATCAATTATTTCGTATATCGTACGTACGATCCGAAATTTATAGATTTAAAAATAAATTTTGTATTTTTTCCTGAATGAATCTAGTATCGAATTTATCGTTCCCCAGAACTCTTTAAAATATGATTTAAAAATAAATTCGGTATTCAATTGACTCTATAATTTAAGTCATGTATTCATTTCTGAGTTTTATGCTAAGTGATTGTATAATTTTTAGTGTTTTTAAAAAAAAAAAAAAAGATTAAGTATACAATGACCAAAATTTATTTCTATATGTTAAACTAAAAGTTTCAATTAATAATAATAGAAAAACTTACTTTAGGATGAGTTCTTGAATCTGAACACCAGTCTGAAACACCTAATTCTTGATCAAACACATAACTGTATGTAGGTTTATATTTTACTTTTCGATTTAATTCAAATATAGGTTCTTTTATATGTGGTAATTTTGTAGTCCATATAACTCCACTATTTTGTGAACATCCACTAAAAATGTACTTGCCATCATGACTAATACTAATTTTCGAGTACATAGAATTTAAGTGGCGACCTGTATACTGTTAAGTGGCGACCTGTATACTGATGTATGGGAGCTGAAAAAAATTTGATAAAACATAAATTATAACAAATACCTCTAGTTCATATAATAGATATGTCAAATCAAAATTGTGGCTATCCACTATATACTACGGCTGATGTTACTGAAATTGTGGTATTAGGATACCAGGATGGAATTATATACAGAAATACATGCCAGAAAACCATAATACCAATAAACATTTGTATGCTGCTGGAGTAAACTATTGTTGTGTTAATATTTTTATTATATTGTCCCAGTCATGTAAAAAGTGACCAAATGAAAAAAACCAGTCTGAAGGTTTTATCCGAACAGTATTTTAACTGAAAAATATACTGTCAAAAATGTATTTAATCAAAGCCACGTACTTAATACAGACAAATACGGTCTGTCCACAAAGATGTATCCCCTGAATATCTCCAATGATAATAAAGATAATTTAATTCAAGAGGTATTTGAGCTCTATAAATCAATTATCGGAGAATGGTGAATTTGTTGGTATGTACTGATATAACAGTTTTCTGGTGTGTGTTATTTAGTACTGTGTTATACCATATAATTGGTGTTTAGGCAATCATCATTATACCAATAATAACTGGTATAACCAAAAATCATCAACCCTACCATATACTGATATACACTGTGTGATAAATTTAAGTGGTACACTCATTATGTCAGAAAGTATTACATTTTTCCAGAATTTGTGATGTAGAACATTAAAGCAAGAAGCTACTCCACTTCTTGTCAAGCTTATATTTGGGGATGAAACCACTACCTACTTTTCATTTTCAAATAGCAACCTATATGAAAAGTCCATAACTAGATGAAGGATCAGTTAAAAGAAATTTTAGTGGAGACGTTTTTGATATCCATCAATCCATTGTTGAGATATTCCACTTTTAAGTTTGGGTTGGCAGAGAGTAGTAGAATATCATTTGTGTGGCAGTTAGGTTAGGTTGTTAATAATGCACCACTACTTTTAGCACCAAAAATAACATAAATAAAAAAACTCTAGAGCAACTTATTTCATAAATGTTTGAGAAAACAGATTCGGGGGAAAAATCTAATATTTTCCAAGATAAAGAGTGTACCCACCTTAATGGATCACCTGGTATATGGACATATAATGATTTTTATTTTTCTCATGAATACATGGCTTTTATAATAAATCTAATTGTAAGATATATGTATACAAATGTCTAATATATAAAATTAATTCTATTTCTATTCTATTTCACTGGTTAATCATTACGTCAATGAAAACTATAGTGAAATATATTATTGTTTCACACAATATTATACCTAATATACTAATATACTATACTATAATATACACTTATACAATCAATAATTTTAATAATTTTTAATGCGAATTAAGTTATTGCCAGTACGTATTTTATGACAAGTGTATATTTTGAATATTTATGATGCCTACCATTATTGAAAAAACGAAATAAAAGTTAATTTTATGATACCGAAATCTTGAGTTGTTAGTACTAACAATACATGACAAATAAAAGCTAAGAGGTAATATAGGAAGGAAGATAATATGAAATATAGAAGAAATGTATATACTTCTTTGTGTAGAATTCAATGAAAAACAAAGAATATCACTGCCGTACACACTTGCATATAACAATGAGGATTGTGGATTTAATTGCATGTCAATTAACATTGGATTGCTACAATAATATTTCTTGAGTGGTAATGGTTTAACATTTCTATGAGCACAGCGAAAGGTTTTTCGTAAATCCCATACCTTTATTTCACTATAAAAAAAGAAGTTATTGTAAATGTAATTTACATTATATTTTATTATTGTGCGATATGTATACATACCAATCGTCAGTAGAACAGGTTATAATTGAATTACTATTCAGATATATAACACAGCTTAGTCCCATACCAATAGTACGTGTTTTGCTATAACCTAAAATTTAATAAAACAAAATAAATAGTTGGTTTTAGTATTATGTGTAAACTGAAAAACATGTTAAACAATTTTTTGTTGATTTACTTGCATAATTCAATAAAAATGTATATGTAATATGGCATTCTATATTTACCATGTGTTTTAGGAATATCTTGAACTAATCTATTGAAATTACGAGCATCCCATACTCTCAATTTGCCATCTTGACTCCCACCACAAAATACATCTACATAACATACAGACATGCCAAATCAAATATAGAAAAAAATATAAAATATCTTTATAGTTACAATTATTATACAAATTATATCATTAATCTTATTTTAGCGAATAATGATTTAAATTATATTAATATNTACCAGATGATCCTGGACAAAACTTAACACTATTGACTGGAGCTTCAAAGTTAAATATATTTTGTAGTTCAATATTGCCAGATGGCAATAATTGAAATATTTTGGAAGTTTGATCACCACTCGCAGTAACAAACTTCATGCTTGAATCAGCCCATGCATGATCAAAAATGATATTACGGTGATTCTTGAAAACTTGAAAATAAAAAAAAAAAAAAATTAAAATAAATTTCAAATAATTGTAAAACAATAACAAGTATAAAGACTATAGGGTTTAGTTTTACTTGATTTAGAATTGTCTATATCAGTGTTATTTTTTATATTCTCATTTGTATTTAGAATAATTATTTTTCCTTCTGATGTTGTACAAGTAAATATGTGTGAATTGTTTTTCATTTTACTGAATTTGCCAGACATGATAGATCCACGACCAACATGCATTTTTTCAGTGCTCATATTGAAGGTTGTAGATCCCATTTTACCAATCAAATTTTCAGTTATCTTTTGTCTAAATCCTAATTAATAAAATAATAAATACAATTTGTTAGAGTACATAAAATTAGTTCATTAAGATATTCTTACAATGTCCTGTACAGTGTTCATAAGCACTAACTTTACCACAAACTAAAAATATTCCGTCTTTAAAGGATTATTGCTAACAAATATCATATAGGATATTTTAAAAATGGAATCAAGTGCATTAGGATAATTATCACATGTTTTATTTCGATGTAATGAGCAGGGCTGTGAATATAATGTATTAAAAAGTGTTGAACATATGCATTAAAAACACAACGAAATATGCACTCGTTATATTAGTAATACTGCTTTTATTACATAAATAAAATAATTTTGAATTGATAATTAAAAATACAGGAAAACAAATTCTTTATTTAGATATATATATATATATACATTCCTGTGGTCCTTTATTGTCTGAAAAAAGGGAAATATTGGACACATTGTATTCGATATTCTTTGATCTTTGAGTATTTAAACTATTGAATCGAACAACTGTGTCACGAAGTTATTATCATAGTAGATAAAATCTATTTACGTTTCTAATAAATGTATAAAATAGATATAATTTGTAGATATCAGAACAATCCTGATTTTATCGTCAGGTACCGCTTTAAATTCAAAAACTGGACTTAAAATTTAATATTTTCATTCAAACTATGATATAAATATTACTATTTGTGTTATATTGTATTTGAAAATATACTTTACCGTAAGCATTTTGACTGAATCCGAGTTCTCTATTTTGCAAATAATTGAATTCATTAAAATCCATTGCTCTAATTGTATTGACTAAAATAAACAAATCGTACAAATAATAAATTATCTAATCGGGTACTTGGTTAAGTTAAATACATACACTAACAGTGAAGATTGAACAAGTTACATATTAGATCATCCAACAGAAAATAATCGATTTATGACTTGGATCGTGTTACCATAGACATATAATTATATTAATTATGTTATCCACTTCTATATCGTGCTTTCCCAGCTTCTCACCTGAAACAGCGACTCGCACGTTATGCAAAGTATGTCCATTGTTTTATTTGATAATGTGTATAATTGATAAATTGATAATGGTAGCTATCTACTGTGATTACAGGCATGGAAAGTAATATTGTTTATAAAGGAAAGTATAATATAAGACCACTGGACGCGCTAGTTCTCCACAAACCTGTCAACGATACGATTGCCGCTAGTGCCCCTTCTATTTAATTTATCTTCTATGGTCACAGATATATTATTAATTATAAAACAACTAGATAGCCGACTTTGGTATTGTTAATTGT